GTAAAATCTACCACCCAACTATGCCATCCCAGGTTTAAACCCTAGAGAAATTCTTATACATTGACACCAGTAAGCATTACAAAAACAAAAACCTGGAGTGTCCATAAATAATCACCAGCAGAATTTGAATATATAAATTTTTCCATATTCATACAATAAAGTACTATAGAGCATGAAAAAATTTAATAAAACAAATGTGGTATTAATCAATTAGGCTGAATCACAAAACATGAACAAAAGAAGCAGTCACAGAAGATTTACAATAGAATTCAACTTATAAAAGTTCAAAATAAGCAAAACTATAAACACACATGTGAAATATATATACACATGTATACATATACATTCATGCATGAAATATGCATACTTGTAGTAAGGTCATAAACGTAAAAACACAGTAGTAGTTATCTCTGAAGGGGAGGGAAGAGAACATAGTCAGAAAGGCAGACGTGTAGGGTCCAGATTAACTACAAATGTTTCAGTTCTTGGGCTGTTTACACAGTGGTTCCTTTGGGTTATTTACACCGAGTTGGTAGATTTTTATACATCTTTATGAATCTTTTCTCTTATAATAAAATTACATATTGCATATATTTATATGAAAGAGAAAAATGAATCTCTGGTGTTTGAGCCAAGGGCAGCTACTGATGCTTTAAAGAGCTTTGGGCCTCACCATAATGAGTTTCCTTGCATGACCTACTTCAAAGTAAAACTGGCTCAGCCTGACGGTGGACTCATCCTTGGGCACCTACACTAATGACTGTGGTTGTTACAATTCTATTTCCATTCATCCCTTATTCCCATCCTCATCCATTGTGCTACTACAGCAACAAAAAAGCTGCCATATAATGTGAGAGCCATTATGCCAACAGGGCTAGGAGATAAGACAGGAGAGGGAAGCCTGTTTTGGAGATAGTCATTCCAGAAGGAATCAGATTATTGGCACCTCCTTTCAAGGGAGTTGCCAATGCCTTTGATTTTGTAAGTGAACAGACACGAGCGAGGATGACCCTCCGTCAGTGCAGGGCACAGGTAGAAGCAGCACAGAGGCATTCTGGGAGGCCCATAAAATAAGCAGGCTCTGGGGACGGAACAGAATCTGGGAGCTGGGAGGCAGCCTGGGCACAGGAGGTGGCTCCAGGAGCAATTTACACAATGCTGAGATGGGCACAAAATGCAGAGGAAACTCAGAGGACAGGGCAATCAATCACTGCCAAGGGTATCTTCTGACAGGGAGCAGGACTCCAGCTTCCAGATGTAACATGAAAACGTAATGTGGCCCCTGGGACTGAGCATGGCAGGTTTCCCTGAAGCTCCGGTCTCACTCAGTTAACTAATTAGGAGAGAATGTGACACTGGTGTTTATTATTTCTACCATTTCTACCGGGACAAATCCTTCCCAGCAGGAGGGAGAGGTTGTTGTGTTTGTTCTGTTTTGTTTTCTCATTAAAAAGAAATGACTGACACTGTAGTAAATAAACTCTTGTTAGAGAGAAAGGTTTTTTCCCCCCATAAAATCCTCTCAGCTCACTTTCCTGCTGATCATCGTTTCTTTTGTTTTCTGAGGACATGGTGGCTAAATGAGCCGGTGTTAGACTGGGCTTGAAAATTCTACCACGGACTAGCTGTGTGATCCTAAGCAAGTTATTTGAGAACTCTGAATTGCTTCCCCAACTGGAGAACTGGGGATAATACCTGCTCTTGAGTGCTGTTTGTGGAGGATGAAATGACAAATAATGTAGTGGAAACACTTTAGCACAGTGTCTGCACATAATAAGTACTCGATAAATTTTAGCCTTTATTTTTAATGACTATGATACTCTAGTCTATAAATAGAAATGTTTTACATTTCATTTATGCCTGTGTCATCAACTCCACATGACAAGTCATCTAATCATAAACGGAACCTTTATTCTAGTTTATACAAGCGACATTAACCATGCTACTCCTCCTCACCCAGCTGTAAAAAGTATTCCTATGAAAATTTAATATTTAATAATAATGTCAAAGGAAACAGTTCTCCACCACAAGCACCACCACTTCCAGCACACGCCCCTCCCCAACCAGCACATCTTTTAAGTTTTCATAGGCAGCACCAGTGCCAAGCAAACATCACTAGTAAACACACGTCCCTGTGCACTGCTGGGCCAACAATAGCATTACGTCTGAGGTGCTTTTTAACAAATTGGAAAGTGATTTCACAGGTGATTTCCCATTTGAACTCACAGCAATCCCATGATGTGGGCAGGGTAGATGCGAATAGCCCTGTTTTACAAACAAGGAAGCAAACTCAGAGGATAAATGCCAAAGCCACGATATTCAATTTTCTATGAAAAGGTAATATGTGTGAATCCAGATGTCAGGATTTTTGAACTTTAGAAAATTAGATTTTCTCAAGAATGAAGCCTGTTTTGAAAACAGCCGAAGTGACCAGTGCTTAGAGAGAGAAGTGTGATCATTGGTGAAAAGCAAATAAAATAGTCAAGAAGTATATAGGTCTTTATCTTCCAATTTCATAATCATTTGCCCAGTGTGCCCCAATTTTTCCACCCATAAGTTTGAAAAGCAAAAATTTCACTTCTTATGTCTCCTACATTATTCTGTGCAAATGGAAGCTTGATGAAATGATATTCAAGAGATTTTATGCTAATCACAGAATATATGAGCACAAAAATATATGAACAGAAGACAACACATTTTAAGTGCTAGTAAAGAATCTTGGTGATAAAGAAAGGAAGAAGAATATTTTCTAAGGATACATGGGCTAAAGATGATGAAAATTAAATAAAAGTAGATAAATCAGCATTATAACTTTACATTATATATTTGAGTGGTTTTGGAAAGTTGCAGAATCAAACTAAGAGTCATGAACATGTAATAGCATTTTTGAAGCCAAGAAAATATAAATGTCCTCTCATTAAGATAATGTTTCTTTAGCTCATCATATATACCAGTTCTTAAAATAATCAATTCTGAAGTAGTGCTATCAATATTGGACTTCCAAGGACACCAACATATGCTCACTGACAGCTCATAACCTTAATAATCCCTAGCAGACTATAGAATTGTAATTCAGAAGTCCCTCTACCCCCTTTCTCTGGAATGGGGGATAAGTTCTTATTGATTGGAAGACAAAAGCAGATAAAGGTCAATAGGTGAAATCTTAATTGAAAATACAAACCAAACACAAACTTCTAGTTTATCATTTGAACCTGGAAGCCCAAGGACCTCTAATTTTGCAATAAAAAAACCTAGTCATGCCAACACCAATAAGCAAAATAGCAGACAATAATAGGTCATCATTAGGATTCTGACTTCATGGGTCTGACTTCATGGGCCCAAACATAATTTGCCCCCTGATTCTTCATAGAACATGAAAGAACTTCATTACAATATTGGGAGAGATTTTATATGAGAACAGAAGAGGCCTGTGCAAAACTTCCTCATTCTCTTCTTAACGCATTCATTTAATAAGCATGTTTTTAATGTTTTCTACTTATTGGGATTGATATCAATCTCACAGGGGAGAGAGGCAAATCAAGCATCAAATTTATGTGTTAAATTCTAGAGTGAAGGAAAATATTTGCTGCAATGAGAAGTGGGTCATGAAGCTCTCAGAGAGAAGAGATGTTCTAATGAAGTCTCAAATGGTAAATGTATTGTGTATGTGGAAAAAGGAGGAGCAGTTTCCTGTCAGAAAGAGCAGCATGGGTAATAAGCAGAGAGACTCCAAAAATGAGGTGAGTTCCAGAAATCAGAAGTGGTTCTGCATGGACAGAAGGGGAAAGATGCCAATAGAAGCAATAAGCAGTAGAGGAAGACAAAGGTTCCATCATTTAGAACTTTCTAGTCTGTGTTAAAATACAACATTGGAAATCTGAATACAATTATTGGTCTACTGAAAATATTTCATCCTATAGGAAATGGGAATAGATTTTTACTCTAGAACAACCCGTTTGATGCTATCTAAGCATGCAGTGAACTAGAGTTAGAAACTCGGAGGTAGAAATGCCAGGTAAAAGACAATTTTAGAGATCCAAGAAAGACATGGAGAGGCCCTAAACTAAAGCAATGGGGATGGAAAAGAGAATAGAGATAAGAGAAATACAAAAAGCAAGAGTGACCAGGTGGAAACAAGGGGAAGAAGGAAGCTTAGAGCAGCTTCCATGGTATTTACTTGGCTGGCTGAATGGAGAATGGTCCCTTCACAGGGAATGCATGAGGAGAAAGCCAGTAGTATTCCTAGAGTCATGTTTATTCCTCTTTTACAAGATTAATCACATTTCACTTTGTATTGCAGTAGCTAAGTGTCATTCCACCACCCTCTTCCCCACTAGACCCATAAAGTTCTTTAGGGGAAAAGTTCTGTGCCACACACCACAATAGCATGTTTCTATAACATGATTATTTAGCATAACTGACTCACTGTAGACACAATGTTTTTGAACGTCTGAGTGAATAAGTGAACCACTCCAAAAGTTAGATGTGACAAAAACATACATTTTATTCTTTCAATCACATAGTTATTTCCTAAAATGCCAATAACTCACCTCAGCTGGATAATAACTCATACCACTTACCAATTAGGTTCATTTCAGACTTATAATACCCTGTGCAAACCCCAATGTCTGAACTGGAAGAGACTTTTAGGAATATCTACCACTAACCCCCATTTTAAAAACATCTGTAATTCAAAGAAGTTACATGGCTAGCCCAAAGTCACAAAAGGTTTCTGGCGATGGGACAGAAATCAGGCAGAATACGTCAAGATTTAATATTTGTCAACCAAAATGGTTGTGATATATTCAAAGAAATACAAGATACTAAATTTAGCTAGGATGAATTAAGTTTTTAAAAGTATTTGACATTTCACACTAAAAAAGTACAAGGCAAACATCTTAGACACATTTTCTTAAATAATTCTTTGCTCTTACAATGAAATGTAAGGAGCAGAGCTCAACTTTTAATCCTGAATTAGTACAAGTAAGACAGATGCTTACCGTGATCTTCTGAAGAGACTGGTGACCTAAAATGAGATAATAAGCATGATAAATCTTTTGTAAATGATACTGATAATTATAAGTACAACAATGATCAAGAAATTATACCCTCAAAATCAGTTAAATAGAAATTCAATAGAGTAGATGGTATAATTAATGTGTTGGTTGCATAGTATATATATTTTTTTTCCAATCAATAACTTCCGTTAAGTTACTCCAATCAATAACTCCCAAAGATTACCTGGATTGGTGGAGGGGTAGTGTTACTAGAATGTCTACTGTATAGTGTCATAGGGCCGCACATACTTAGTTAAGTCAGGATTTATCAAACACACAAAAAGAACTCATATAAAATGTGATAACAGATGAAATCCTGTGATGTCAGAGTGTGAGTAAGCGCCCAAACCCAGGCCTCCAGAAAAAATGCCAGAGATGTAAATACACACTAGGCTGAGTATCTGTGGGCAAAAATTAATCTCCGACAGCAAAAATAGCAGGAATAAAAGAAATGGCAAGTACACTTATCATTGGATTTTGTTTCCACTCTTTGTGGAATTTAATGTTTGAATGAGAATTACATCGACCTTCTATTTCTGGCCGTATGTCTCTAAACCTGTGAGAATCAGGATGAGGAAAGAGAGTAACCTCTGGAGTCCCACAAAACTTTTATAAATTGAAGACTTTGCATGCTATTTGGGGTTCAGCTCTAATTATGACTGATACCAAGGAAGCATTATATCAACCTCTTTCACAGTAACCCCCTTTTTCCTTCCACAGCTGACTACTAATTAGTTACTTTGAGCAATACAGACACAGCCTTATTTATGAACTCCTCTCAAGCTTGAAAGGTACAATCTTGACTACTAACTCATTCTTTTCTGGGTAGAAAGAGAAACACATAATATGGAATTCAGGGATGTTTGAATTTTGAAGGAAAAAGCTAGAAATTAGAGTAACCTTTGGAGTCCCACAAAACTTTTATAAACTGAAGACTTCTCCTTTAAAACTTTCATAAATTGAAGTCTTCTCCTTTAAACAATTAGACTGTTAAAGCCCATAGCTGGGAGATGACCAAAGGCCAATGCAAGAGTTTGGTAATAAAGCTAACCATTAATATAACTAATATTAATGAGATGTGATGACAAGGTTGGGAAAAGAATGATTTAGTGGATGCATACTGGTTGCAGGAAAATTTTAGCTACTTTGGGATGCTTGATACTGCTTTATCTACAGATCAGTAATATTTTTGTCCATTATGTGAATGAACTGTATGGTATAAAGACACATTAGTGTCACCAGTGGAAAAGTGTGTAATCATTTCGACCTACAGATCTCTTCAAGTAAACTTCTGCATGTGAAAATGACAGAAGGTCCCAAGATTTTGTAGGGAGAAAATCAGTATGTAGGACAAGGACACAGGGAACAGTAAGAGGGAACCTACTGTCATCCTAAGCTATCACTGCATCCCCCTCCCCCACACCAGGATCAGAGCTATCCTCTCCTTGGAGCTCCCCTGTTCCTTACTGTCCACACACTGGTCTTCCCCACAAGGCTGCGCGCTCCTTAAAAACTAGAACCAACTCTTATTTTAAACACAGGGGCCCCGATTAAAATCTGTTGAATTAATTTTAGCAACACCACACTGGTGTTCAGACTCAGACACACTCTGGGGCTCCACAAAAAGTCATCATGTCACCTTCAAAGACCAGTTTGTCAGCTCCTATATCAGCTGTGAGGGAAGAGCCTGGGGAATGAGCCTGAAGCTCCAGACTGGAGACAATGTAGTCACTCTCAGAGCCCAATGCCACCCAGTGCACCTGGCAAAGGAGATACCCGCAGTCTGCTTAACGATTAGAAAAAAAATAAAGACGAGAACATGTTGAATAAAGGTGAAATTGGACTGGAAGGTGAGTCTAAAAAGAAATCATATATTGAAATAGGATGAGATAATAATCTGTGCAGGACATAAAAAAGAGTCAGCCACAAGGAAACTTTTTCACTCCTGGTGTTTTCTGATGGGAAGTAAAGCAAAAATGTGTCTCTGATTGTTTGCAATTAATTTCTCACAGAACTATAGGAACAAAGAAAAACTCACGGAAATGAACGACGCAATGTCTCAGATGGAGGAGTTGGGCAGCAGGCTTTTGCTGCCTTTCTGCAAAAGCAAAGACCTAATATTAAACCTGAAAAATTCCAGATGGCTGCGATAAAGTCCCATGGGGATACGCTCTGCAGTGCGTCCAGGCAGTGGGGGAGAGCTATCGATTTCAGAGTGTTTTCTAAGGATTAGTCATGTTGGGTTTCTATGCTCAATGTCTCCCACACGCCTGGATTTGTGGAATTCCAAGACATATGGAGTATTTCAACCCTCACTCAGTATTTCACCTTGCACTGTAACAAGTCACTAAGTTATACGACTGAGACATATACATCATACATTATGCCTGGAAATGGGCATAAAATGTTTTACAGAATTTAGCTCAGGAGAAGAGAAATACTGTGAAATCAGCAATCTAAGTAGTTATTTGTTAAAACAGAGGGGTTGAATCTCAGGAATAGACAATCTTCCTCCATCTGACAATTAAGGAATGCATAAAAGCTCACGACTTCTTCCCACGGCACCTGAAAGATTTGTGTTTTTGTCCCAGGCTTTTGATTCCTCTTCCATATTCACTTTATCTTGGAGAGAGCATCAGCTAAACTATGATGAGCACTCAAATAACTCCAGAATTTAAAGTTCTCTTCCTCACATCTTTCTTGATCACCAGTCTTTTATTACAGTCTATAGAATATTTATATTTTATTTTGCATTTTTTTGGTATTTCTTACACTTTCATTTACATTTCATATAAATTCAGCAAAGTAACACAACAAAAACAAAGACTCAAGCTCTGCATGTAAAATTGTTACTTCTATTTTATTAAACCTTAATAATTACTATTCAGGTTTAAATATTTCAATTTGTGTTGATTTAAACCTGAATAATAATTATTACTTGAGACCATATTAAGTTCCTGGCCCAGTGTCAAGTGATGGAGATATGAAGGGGAACAAGATATCAATTTCATGGAGCTGATAATCTAGTGAAGAAAAATTGTGAACAAATGATTACAATTAAGTGAAGAAATATAATGATCAAGACCTATATAAAGAGGTTTTGTAGAAGAGAGGGAGATCAATTTTGTCCCTAAAGAGGGAAAGGAGGCATCAGAAAGCAAGAACCATCTGCGCTGGGCTTTGCAGGGTAAGTAGAAGCTTAGTAGGTAAGTAAGAAAGGAGAAGAATGCCAGGTAGAAGCAACAGACATCTGAAAAGGAGTGCAGATGTGAAATTTCATAATCTGGTATTCGATACACAAGTAATTCTGTGTTGTTAGAATGTAAAGAAGTAATTAAAGATAGGACTAGAGACATAAGAGGCAGGGCCATGTCATTCCAAACTAGTGGTTCCAAACAGAACGTACCCCATGCAAATATAAATAATACACAAAAAGGAACCAGCATATCTACACAAAGATGCCCTGAGGAAAAAAAAGCAAGACAGGGATGAGCCAACAAACGTAGGCTGGGAACATACGAAAAAGGTGCGGCATAAAGCAGGTAAGAACTGTTAACAGATTTCCATTTAGAACTGGAGAAAGAGAAGGACGGGAGGAAGGAAGATTTAATGGAGGAAGAAATAAGGGATGGAAATGGACCTTTCCAGGAATAGAAACTTAAAGAAACGACAGCAGAGGGAACGAACTAAGATTCACCCAGAGTCTTTGAATTAGTTATTTATAGAGAAAGCGTGAGGGCTTTTTCCTCTGTGTCACCACTGCACTGGGAAAAGAAGGTGAAGAGGAGATGAATAATAATTAAAAACATATTAAGAAATGATCCATTCATTTATTCATCCATTCAAGCTTTATGGAAATGGTTTTGCTTTTGTTCACTTTACTTTTCTATTAAATTTTGACTTGAAGATTTGCTGGTAAAAGTCTGCGTTGGAATGTTATCCTGCTTGGTAGAACATTCATGCTTTTCTCTCCTTTTAATTGAAGCAACACTTTTCAAACTAGGGTCCGTGTGGGAACTTGAACATGAAGGAAGCTCCAGGAAGACGACACTATTTTTAGATAATGAATTATATAATTTAGTTGGTAAAATTATAATATTATTTTTATATTGAAACTGGCACAGCCATACTATGGATTCAAAAGCAAAAGTCACTTGAATTCTTAAAATAAAGCAAATAAACTTCAAAAACATCTGTGTTTAAAGCAGACAGCTTCAGGCAATGTCTCCATGGTCCCTAGAAGGGTGTTTGTAATCTTCTGGAATAGGGATGTTTCCAAGGAAGTCTGAAAATATGAAATGATCCACCTAAATACATTAATATCATCTTGGAATGAATCATGTTTTGAGATTAATGTATGCAGATATCAATAAACTGAAGGAATGAGACATAGCACATACATTGGCTAGGGGCCACTGTATTGGACAGAACTTGTCATCACTTAAGACACAAGGAATCTCTAAGAAATTCAAAGGTAGGTATTTAGATTGCCTTCCATTGGCACATTTCCCTTCGAGACTTCCAATCTGTCTAGTAGATCAATTACAAGGCCTAAGGACATTGAAAAATGTGCCCAGTTTTTACCAGCAAAGTAGTAATACCGAAGAGCAAAAGAGTGTGATATTTATGAAGGCAAAAGAGTCTTTAAGAAGTATTGCACTTCTTGTGATGTTTTATTGTTTTTAATCAACAAGCCTGGAACTGAGATGATGGGCATTGTGACTATTTCAGCCTTTACGACGGGCTATAATGTTTTGCAATACGTTTCAGGTGCATGCATTTCTTGGCAAGCTGGATGGAATTCTCTAAACCTGCAAGCTCATCCTAACACAATGTGTCTACTTTTTCAGCCTCTATAGTTTCTTTTGTTTTTATCTCTTGTCTTCAATAGCATCCATGTCTTTCCTACTTGGCCCTCCTTGGGAAGTCTATATCATTTCTTTCTTTGGGGAGAGACAGGAGGTCACTA